AGGAACATTATTACAATTGCTTCTTTGGCCAGCATTTCCAGGAACATTGCAAAGTACTGATTATGATCTACAAAGCCTTACGTGCCTTGTGTACAGGCTGTGTGAAAGACTGCAGTTTCACATATGTACCTGCTTGGGTTTCAATTTTGGAATAAGTTGAAATAGGATTTTCTTCATTTCCATCAACAACATATTTAGTTAAAAAAAAATACTTCTCAACAGCTACCATCTCTGGTTCTCCTTTCCCACCAAAAGTCAGGGTTTTTGTTTTTCAGCTTTCAACCTGCCTGTGGAATTAGATTTTAATTGGTGGATTTGTATTTGATTTTATGTTTTAATTATATTTTAATTCTATTTTTATATTTTATTTCTATCTATCTGCTTACTTGTCATGGAAGAGAAGATTTTTTTTATAATAATTTAGACATGCAAAGCCCACATTGTGTAATGCCTAATCTCATTGTTCACATTCTTGTAGTTCCAAAATGTATTGCATCAATGTAGTCTGGCCAATCCAAGAACTATATTTTATTATAATAAAATAATGTCAACTGTATCCCTGTTATCAATGGCTCTTTTCCATTATTTATTAGGTTTATATAGATCAAATTTTCTTATCATCCATCAGTTCTGCATTGCCACAGGCAACTAACATGCTACTACTAATTTCAGTTTATTAATGACATTCAATGTTTTAGAAATAGAAAGGCAACATATCTTCATTGGAGACAATAAAGAAAATAATGTATTATTTTCATTCATGCTTCAAAAGTTTCTGGGTAAATTAAGTACCAATTCTATTTTCTTTATTTTTCAGTCTTAGCAGTTTCACATATATATCAGTTAAGGCTGAATAAGTAAAGGATATTACTTTCTTGTATAAACAAAATGGGCCAACAGACTCATGAAAGAATGTGTTTTATCCTTTGTGTTAGAATATGACTTCCTGAGGCACCACCAAAAGCCTACTGTCTCCCATCTCACAATGTAGAGCTACTTCTGGTGGGGCTCTGGCATGGAAATTGGGGCTTCCCATGTTTCATAGCGATCAATGGAGGGAAGCTGAGCAGTGGACACCCCCTCCCATGGGATAAAGCAAGGGGGAAGTCAGATGATGCAGTGTGTGGGGCAACAAGTGCCACATGCTGGACACCGCCAGATTTGCCATGATATGTGGCAATTCTCACGGCCAATAGGATAAGGTCCCTAGTCTTCTATAGTTGTCCACGCCTATCTTAGATAGAGGCAATAATTATTTTGCTGCAGTTTTGCTTAGGAAAGTAAATATGTAGCAGAAGACTCTTTAACACATTGGGTATGTTCTGTCCTTTCCTGATCAAATCATTTTCATATTTTACTGGCCTGCTATAGCATTTACATAAGCATTTTTGAGCATCCTAGCCCATACCAAAAACTGTAATATTAGTTATTCCCTACTTTCACCTGTGAAGTTAATTCTTGCTATCAAGATTTCTGCTGGGATTCCTGCCCCAACCTTCTGATCCAGGGTTTCTGACTGATAGGGATATAAATGCTTCAGTGTTCCATTCTTACATGTAAGAATTAGTAAACATGGTTGTTTTCTTCATGCTGCCATTTTTTTTTCATGATGTTATTTTATCTCCAACTTCAGACCTCCTAAAATATTCAGATGGGCTGTTTTGGGGATTTTTACATCTCAAAAAAATACATACTTGTTGTGGGGAAAAACAACTATGTGAAAAATGTATTTCCTGCACAGAAAACATAATTTTATGCAAAAAAAAAATATATATATAAAGGCAATTTTTATTATTTTCATGACATTTTCTGGCTGCCAAGAGAGCAGTTAAAGTTGAACAAGGCAAATGTTTTCCCCTCATCCCAAATGCCTGTGATACTGCTTATGTCATCTAAAATCTGTTGGACTGTTTTCTTTGCAAAAGATGTGTGATTTTTTTCCAAGACCATCTTGTATTAACTTGGAAAACTTGAAGAATCTTCCTATCTCTCAAGTGGAAATTTATGGAATGTTTCTCTGAATCAATCCAAAATCTCAACAGTGTATCCCACCCCTAAAATTCCTACAATTTCCCAAATCCTCCTTTTCTGTAGTAAGTCACAAAACACACTGCCATTCATTCTATTTCTATACAACCATAAAAGGTTGGGGGAATGATTGGGGTTTTTCCATAGAAAGGTGGGAAGTTTCAGAGAAACATGTCTGAAGAGCATGTGTTTATTTTGCTGATCAGTTCAAACAAGCCAAGCAAAATTCAGATATTTCCCTTGGTAAAACTAGGTTTCGGAGTAATTAAGCTCCTCTTTATCATTTGCCCCAGATTGTGGCCACCGTTTTTATAACTTTCACAAGGAATATTCATTGCCATTTCCTTTGAACTCTTTATTTTTCAAAGCTTAAAAAGAGATATACTGTATAGCACTCTACGTCTTTTTTCACAGTGGTTTTCAAAAAAGTAGAAATCTACTTGGTATGAGAGAATATGTTAATTGAATCCTCTCAGCTTTTATGTTTTGGAAAATGTGTGTACCTTTATCATTTTCTTTTTCATCCTATTTTGCAAAGCTACCAGGTTCTGTTCAGTAAAAATGTATCATTGTAGCAACTCCAGCAGAAAGAATATGCTGAAAAACATGTAATAAAGGGCTTTTAAAAAGGGAAAACATGACCATATTCCATCAGATAGGTCTCATTGTGAATGGTTTATTATTAACATTTTTATTGCTGAGTTTTTTGATAAATAATGAATGGTGCTTTTGAGTCATTTGGCCACAACATTTATCTTGAGAATACTTTTCCTTAGTTCTCTTTTTATAATAATTTATTTATCATTATACTGTACATTTGTCTGCAGTTATTCCAGACAAATAATGTGTAACATGGTTACACCAGTAGTGGCACTGGAAAGCTTCCCTTTTACCTTGTGGTGCTCAGAGACAGGAAATATAAAGGAGTTTGAAAAACAGGGTTTAGACAGAAAAGAGAAAGCAAGAGCCTGAGCTATGAAGTCAGTGAAGAAAGGGTGACTGATGTGTCTAGCAGAAAGGGAACTTAAAGAGAAGCAAGCAGTCAGCAAGCTCTTTAATTTCCCCCTACAGGTCAAGTTATGCCAAGTGCTGAACAGAATAGGCACAACACTGGACAGAATGGATTATAAGGTTAAACCAAGTTGTTAGAACACAGAGAATGAATAGTAGAACTTCAGAACTCTCATGTCAAAGTATAGTAAAGAGGGTAGTGAAGAAAAGCCAAAGTAGGCAAGGAATGGATTTGATGGCCTAGGTATGGGGGAAAAGATTTTAAATACACACATACCAAGCACACGGATGCTGACTTACAACATCTCTCTTTTCAAGACAATTCCCTTTTCTAACTTAGCCCTGGATTGAAAATGTTTTTGCTGAATGCCAGGTCAGAACATTTAAAGGCAAGCACTATTCAGAATGTGATTGTAGATGAGAATTCAGACATAGCCTGTATTACAGAGACCTCTGTATTACAGAGATTGGGGAAGGGGGGGTGGTGGTGGGCTGAAATCTTGCTGAGCTCTGTCCACCAGATTTTTTGTAGCATGGCAGGTGAGATTTATGGAGAAGGTTGGCAGAGTTGCAGTGGTCTAATTGACCAGGTGCCCTATCCCACAGTTTGCAGGGTTTGAGCATGTATAGCCAAAGATGGGTAACTAAGACAGAATAAGCATTCTGTTGGTGTACAATCTACCATCCTCCTCAACAGTATCCCATCCTGGCTTAACCACAGTAACCTCAAAGTGGTGTTGCAGTCTCCACAGCTAGTAGTGCTGGGATTGTTCTGTCAGCAGTAACTCAGGACTTCATGGCAACTATGGGTCTGTGCCAAATGGCATCTCCTCCAACACATGCTGCTGAACACAGTCTGAACCTTGATTTCTTTGCAGGGTGGGATGATGGTGAAACTGGTGTGGAGGAAATCTCCACAGTTCAATTGTCATGGACTGATCATTAACTGGTCAGGTTTAGATGCGTTGGGACAGAAGATCCACAGGCATAGCATATTGATTCAGATGGTTCACCCAGTATTCTGATAGATCCAAAAGCATTCCTGATGGCTCTTGGGGATTTCCCTGTCACCTCAGCAGCTGATTCTGGCAGTATTTGTTCATCACATGGAACATTTCAATATCATGTTCAGTCAGATTTTTCTTTCAAGAATTCTGTAATTATTATTCAGTGTAACAAAAAGGGTCAGAAGTGTAAATATGTATGTGTGGCAGGTTTGCAACAGATATACATTTGGATGTAATATTCTTTTGGATCAAGAGTCCAAAAATCTTTTATCTGTGTACAATTATTTGTGTGGTTTTGTAGGTATGATTCATCGTGGTTGTAAGAGAGGTGTTATTTTAGCAAAGAAAAATGACAGATAGTTGATATTAAAAAGGTACACTCAATTGTTAAGAAAAAAAAACCAAAGTAATGATTTCAACCATCTCTTAATCTGTAGTTACAATCAAAGTGTGTAGTTTGTTCCAGGAACATTGAAGACTGTGATCAAACTTGAATATGCATCATTTGACTTTTTATTATTTAATTACTGCATCCTTGATTATTATGCAGTATTGGATGCATGGACTGAGTTCCTTGGAAAGCATTAGGATCAAGTAGATGCATGGATATTTTTCTTGCGGTATTAACCCATGGTATTTATTAGACTTGAGCTTGGATCTGTTTTGATCCATTTCCTCCGGCTTTTCCATGTTTTCCGGCTTTTTTGGGAGGCCGCAATGGCAAGGATTCAAGTTATCACTTTAGTATTATTTATCAAGTGAACAGTAAAATACATGTGTGAACTATTGCGGAAAATACTAAATACAAAAAATACCACAAAAGGGAATAAACTATAAGTTATGCCTTGCCCAACTGAATCCGGACAATGTAGTATATAGCAAACCCAATAACAATTGTCCCTGATGTATGTGTATGTTGTGCTCATGTCTCTCTTTTTCTTTTTTCTCTTACAGGTTTTTCATTATTCTTACACGGCTTCATATGTGATATATAACATGCATACAAGGTAAGATAATGTTATATAGAAGCTGTTCTATACTATGTATTGTTGCAAGTTGATAAAGTAAAATGTTTGCCTTTTTTCAAGGGAAGTTTTGGAGTTAAACCCTCCGGAAGTAGAGGACTCAGTTTTACAGTATGCAGCATGGGGTGTACAAGGCCAACAATTGGTAAGAATAGCAATATCTGTGTTCTTTTTATCCCTTCGACTGCTTTAAAGAGTCTGCAAACGAAGAATAAAATCTAGAGAAAATGCTTTTTTTTGTGGTTTTCAAGCAAATGTTCCTTTCTCTTTTTCCTCTAATTATTTATACATTCTAATTCACTTCATATTCCTTTGCAATTAAAATAAATGTTGAAGGAAACAAATTGTTTGCATGCCAACTCAAGAATAAAAGCAAAAGAAGAGGTGATTCCAGGTAGAAATCATAGTGGCAGAAGTGCTCTCGGAAGAGTATTGGGACAAGTGGTAGTTAATTATAGAATCACTACAGTAGGATTCTTAAAACTTCTTTGTGTATGGTCTTTGGCCAATCTGTCTTTGCAACTGCTTCCAAGTGGTGTTCCCACATTATAGATATAATAGCTCTGATATCGATACATATGAACAAGTAATATTAAGACTCTAGCAATCAAAAACAGTTCTCAATATGTTTCATACACAATGGCCAGCACAAAGATGAATGCAAGGATTTAAGAAATATTATAACTTCAGCCTTATACCTCAGGTGCAGGTTCAGCAAACTTTGGGCCCTTCCACACAGCCATATAACCCAGCATATCAAGACAGGAAACACCACAATACCCGCTTTGAACTGGAATATATGGCAGTGTGGACTCAGATAACCCAGTTCAAATCAGATATTGTGAGTTTTCCTGCCTTGATATCCTGGGGTATATGACTGTGCCATATATTTTAGTTCAAAGCAGATAATGTGGGATTTTATTCAGCTGTGGCAAGGTGCTACACTTTTATTAAAAACTGAGCATGACTCCTTGTTGCCCCTAACCATGATCTTGTAGCAAAGCATGCATGTAGATTCTGCAGTTGGAGATTCTGCTGAGAGCCTCTATAATCAAGTAATTGGTAGGGATATAGTGTTCTTGTGTCATAAATCAAGATGCCATGAATGGAAAAATGCCTCTGGTTAGAAAACATCACATTAAACAAATAGGGACAGGAGGTAATACTGCAGTGAGAAGTAATTGCATCCATCTGGAACATGACTGGTAATTCTTAAATAATTAAGTATGCTAATTTATCAATACATCAGTGTGTGATGAAAAAATTAAATATAAGAAATATGAGGATGATACACAAAGCACAGTAGTGAAACATGTGCTCTTAAACATAAAAGCAGGAAAAGGAAAAACAGACATTAATGTCCTATTGTTTATTCTGAAGGTAGTTTACAGAAAGATTCTTAATGGATTTATTTCTTTGTCAAAGACTACTCTGCTAGAAGGCAGAATTCTTAGTGAATGATTGGCTAGTGTTTCATCAACTTATGCATCCTCATGCAACCTGAAAAAAAAGAAGTAGCATATTTTAGCATAAGAACACTAGAAACAAGGACTAATGTTGGTATATCTCCTCTAATGCTTCCCAGACAAATCTGTGCTTTTGGTGTGCTAAGAGTAAATGTAAGAATAACATCTCACCATTCTGCTCTTCAGTGTTACCCTTTCCAGAAATAATTTCAATTCTATTGAAATGTCTTGATTCAATTACAAATTCTGACTTTCTCAAAGTGCATCTGAATCCTCTTAACATTTTGTCTTCTTGAATCCTCTTAACATTTTGACAGAAGTTAGGCACTGCATATGACTTCTTAGAACCTACTTTTGCAAATACAATGAGTTAGCTTTTACTCATATGTAATCATTGGCAACTTTTTCCAAGAGTCTGTCTGCACTGAAACAAATTTTGAAACTTCTTATAGCATGGTAGTCAATTATGGCCCTCTGGAAACTGCAGCTCCTATAATATCTCACTATTAGATATGCTGACTATGTCAACAAGCAATATCTGAATGGCCACAGTAGATAGAAAAGTAAAGGCTACATTGGTGTGAACTTCAGGCTCAGAAAAGAGGCAATTTATTGCGTGTTTTATACCGTTTATTACACTGAATCCATTATGTCTACTATACCTTAAGCTATTCTCAAAGGAGCTTGAGTTATCCTCCAAAATGAATTAATAGAAGTAATGAATTATTAATATGACTACACCTGTCTCTGCATTCCAAATTCATGGTTTAATCAGCGCAGCAAAGAGACTGTAGTAATATTGAGAATATTGTATTTTGTGAAAGTGAATAAGGTTTCTCTTAATATCTAATGTCACCAGTAAAATACAAGATAACATACTCATTAGGTCAAGTTACTATCATGAACAAGATCGTTTTGTTGCAAGTTGTAATAAATATTAATCTTTGTTCCTTTTTCTGATTCCTTAATCATAAACCATCGTGGAGATTAAGATCCTCCGGGGAGGCCCTGCTTTCCGTCCTGCCATTGTCACAGGCACGATTGGTGGGGACGAGAGACAGGGCCTTCTTGGTGATTGCTCCCCAGCTATGGAACTCCCTTCCTGGTGAGATCAGGTTGCCCCCCTCCCTCCTGTCCTTTAAAGGGATGTTAAAAACTTGGCTGTGGGACCAAACTTTCGAGACAGGGCAATAGGAAAGATGACCAGGCCAATTAGACTTGGCTCGGATGACTAGGACAGTTTTAAATGGTGTATTATAATATTTTGATAAATGTTTTTTAAATATTTATGTATGTGTATGTGAATTTGTGCCCCGGCATTGAATGTTTGCCTTGTATATGCTGTGCTCCTCCCTGAGTCCCCTTCGGGGTGAGAAGGACAGAATATAAATGTTTTAAATAAATAAATAATGATATGAAAATGTCTGTTTCATCTAGTATGAAGTGACATATGTTCTATAAGCCAGAATCTATGTACTATATTTACAAAAGTGTGAGCATAAGTCTGCAGAGACAACACCTAATCTCTTCACAAACCCAAGTTTAGCAAAGACTGCTAAACACAGAAGTCTCTACCCATTAAATAATACCATACAGCAAGAGTGAAAGTCATTTTGGTTTAAAGAGACATTACACCACACTCATACTGTTTAGAGATGTTGATCTCACAGACAATAGTTTGTTTCAATTTCTTACAAGGAAAAAAATAAAGAGTATTAAAATCTGTCATTTCAGCAGATGTATCATTCATCTTCGCTACAAGTGACTAAGGTCCCTTCCACACTGGCATATAAAATCCAGATTATCTGCTTTGAATTGGATTGTATGGCAGTGTAGACTCAGATAATCCAGTTCAAATAAAATAATGTGGATTGTCTGCTTTGGTAATCTGGATTATTTGGCAGAGTAGAAGGGGCCAAAGATCAATGCCACCCCATAAAAACCCTTTTACAAACCTGAATTCTATAAACATTTCTCCCAGGAAGCATCTCCCTTGTGATCCAGCAAATTGTGGCATTTTCATCTTTTTGAGCAAAACATACTGATTTTGTTTTTATTAGATCCCAGTTCCATGAACTATGTTCACAAGGTGTCCTATCTCATCAAATGGACATATTCCCCTTCTGCAAATTATGATTTTTGTTCCGGGGTTTTAAATGTAATTTCCTAATTGGTTCTATCATAAAAACATGGTGAAAGTTTATTAAATTGCAAAAACTTTGTTTTTGTGCGAGGGACATCATGTTATAGCACATTTTGCCATAGTCTCCAGTCTATCAATTTAACATTGTCATCTACCCATTTAATACAGTTTTTGGTGCAAAAACAAAGTTCCTGGGATCGAACTATTACTTTCAAAGTAAGGACTACACAGTTAAACAGAGAAATAACTTTCAAAACAGGAACATGTTTTTTTTATTATTGTTGTTATTGTTGTTATTGTTATTGTTATTATTCAGAGGTTGGATGGCCATCTGGCAGAGCTGCTTTGATGGTTTCTATGTGACGGTTTTTGTTCCTGGGTTATAAATGTCATTTCCTAATTGGTTCTATTATAAAAACATGGCAAAAGTTTATTAAACTGCAATAAAGGCCTGGGGTGGCAACCAACCCCTCTTCCCATCCCAAATCAACCTTGAAAAGTTTTGTTTTTTTTAAAATATTTTTCACTAGAGAGTGATTTTTTTCTCACTTTGATTTCTGAAGTTCTGGGCAACCTGAGAAATGATGTTATTTCCAGCTTCTCAGGAGATAAAGAAGACTACGAGTTTGCACAAAGACTTCAAAGGAATTCCAATCACTGCTTCTAACTAATAAATAGGTGGATGGATTCTTATGGAGGAGCAGTTAATTGTCTTGCTATGGAAGCTGAGTAATGGAAAAAGCAGGAGATACTCTAACTATAAATTGCTTCTATATGAAAAGGGCTGGTATCACCTTGAAATAGCAGGTCACCTGCTTTCCCTTCACCAAGGGATTTTTTTGGGGGAGGGGGGGGGTTGGTCACTGCAGAGCTTGGCATTCCTTCCTTCTCTCTGCAGCACCAACAGTTCTTGCCGTTCATCTATTTTGCATCTTCGGAAGTCTACAACCTTGCAGCCAGATATGAAATGATTAAGACATCTGCTAATGTAAGGACCAAACAATCTAATATTTTCACTGGCACTTTAATGGTTAAATTGGGCTGTGGCTGCTGTATTATTTGTTTTTATGGCAATCTGTACTGTATTTTGTTGATTTTTAAATTGGACTTTTTTGTAATGAGTTGTAATTGGTATTGATATTGTTTAATATATGATGTAATTTTAACTCTATTTTTATGTGTTATGGTACTTGTATGTGCTTCTGTAAGCCACCCCAAGTCCTTCTGGGAGATGGTACTGGAGTATAAATAAAGCTGTTGTTGTTGTTGTCGTCATCAGAAGATCCCAGCAGAGGATGTAATTGATTTATGCTTGGCTCCTACAGAGATAAAACCAGATGATTCTCTGAGCTCTCCAGGCATGGGAGAGGAGTGGGCTTCATTGGCTCTGGGAGCGTTAGATGCCTGGGGTAAATGAAGGTGGTAGTTGATGTATCAGCATAGCTATGCTGGATTGCATTGAGTATTGTTTTTGAGGATGGGTTAATCTCTCAGTGATTTCATCTTATTCCATATTGTTTTAGTTACCTTCAGTTT